TGTTTACAAGTTTATGTAATTTACCAATCTATAAATAAGTATTCTTACAGTGTATGTGAAAAACAAGGCAGCAATGTAATGTTTGGATTTAAGCAGAACTTAAAAAAATAATGATCTTCATTGCTTACTTTTATTAATGTCTGAGCACACACCTCATACTACAATCAAATAAATATTTAAATTTTTTTACAGGCAAAAAATTTACACAATAAACAAAGGATTACCTGCATCATCTGGTGTCCATGGATTACGCGTTGGCTTTTCAGAGGTTGGTCCCGAGGTAGTGATCATTCTCACACTAGGACTAGATGATCTACTGCTGTTTCTACTCTCCTGAAATGACAAAATAAAACACAACAACAAGTTAACAGAAGATTTTTCGAGAAGTTCATTAAAAAGAAAAAAAAATTTAAGAAATATGAACTTATAATCCTCCTTAAAAACACTTTCCCCTTTCCCTCCCCAAGCTTTTACCCTGAATGCTCTCCTACTAGTTTGGTCAACTTTACATGCATTGCAGGGACACTTTCATCCCCATTTCTTCTTAACTGTGTAAAAGAAATTGATACAATTTTGCTATTCAGCGTAACAAAAAGCAATGCTGAACAGAGCGTTCAAGATCTATAGAAAATCATGACAATATGTCTAGCGATTTTTGCACCATTGTTCAGTGAAATCTAGCAGCTCTGTAACATAAAGAGGAAATAGTTTGTTTCCAATGTTTAATTAATGAATGAACTACACTCAATAAAAGGAATACATCTTAGTAGCTGCACTAGACTACCATGTAGTAATCTACAGTTTTCCTCTGGTTCTTTAGTTAACTCAGAGGTTATGTGATTAATCTTCAGAAAATGTGAAAAACGAAATCAAAAGAATCAGTCAATTGAAGCACATAAATCAGAAAATGAGTACATGCTTCCCTATGAAGCAGTTTAAGAACTAAACCAAAATTCTGAAGGCTGTTTTTTCATGTACTGCTTGATTCCTCCAGTCTTTTTGTTTACCAAAGCACAAAAACATAATACAGATTTCATTATTCTCCTAAGCTGCTTTTTCAGAAATGTTATTTACAATATATATGTTTCTATTTCACATACCCCCTCAGTGACTTTAAATTAACACAGTAATGGATTTAAGACTACAAACCCCAGCAAGTTTCTCAGAAAAAAATGAAGTAAAAGGAAAGATGCTATTAAAATACAACTATTTTCAGGATGGTGTATTTATCATGAAATGATTCATTAAATGACTCCATTTTTCAAAATAAGCACTCAAATATACATTAACTAGAAACTATATTTCTTTATGACTTTATTTCCAAATATCCCACTTTAATTTAAGCTTTAAAATTCAGGATTCTGGCCCAGTAATGATCCGAAGAATAACAAGATTATACACACTGAAACATCCATTATTTCAAAGGCATACTCTTTCTTCTGTGATGTTTATTAAGCATTTTGTGTTTTATGTTAATATCTAGAAACAAGACAATAAACTGTAGAAATAATTTGATGGATATTATCAAGATGATGGCATCAGACATTTTGAAAAATCTTTTGTGTTGGAGTTTTTGTTGACATTAAGTAAGATTTAAGTTGCTGAGCTTACTGTTAGCGTCCTCAAACATGAATGATAAACACACCCTGCTGATGTAAAAGATCAGAAGATAGAGAAAGCACTTGTAATAGCATAAAATACCTTTAAGCAAAAAGAGATTTGTTGTGTATCTATAGTGGATAGTGAAAGGCACCTGAGAAATACTCTAGTTACAGTAACTTCTCAGTGCTTTACCAGATTGTTTTGGTCCACCAATCAAAACCACATTTCTTTGATATCTTTATTTACATGAAATTCAGTAGATGTAGAAATGAAGGAATCACATCTGAAGCATATCTAAAAAGCACTATGAAGCTGAAGGGAAGTTTCCCAAACTGAACACTGGTTAGATTACAGTGTTTTGAGAGTTTGTTGAGTGAGATGCTTTAGGCCACCTGCATGGCAGCCCCTCTGACAGGTAAAGTCCATTGTCTGGACTTTGGCAATCAGTTTCTGCTACGCCTTCATCCTTGCTTCCTCCAGACTTGCTAGTGGGTTACTCTCAAATCATCTTTGCCAGGTGGTCAAACTCTCACAGCATTCTTAGCTGCCATTTCTCAAAGACTTACAGTCTTGAAAAGCAGGCATATTCTGAGTAATAATCTTCCCTGAAGCTTAATTTAAACAGGCAACATGATTTAAAGAAATCATCATTACTAGTCCTGTTTCTTCATCTCAGCTGTGAATTCTATCTTGCTGTGAAAGGGGAGAAAAAAACCCGAATGTGCATCTGTGACAAATTTCACAATCTCATGGACAGAATGATTCATCTGCGCAATATCAGATCCCCAAATTATCCCACTTAGTTTGCATGCATGTGGGCATGTACATTATGACCTTGCTTCTTAACTCCTCACATCAGCACATGGCTTTCTTTAATATAGTAATTTTTTTCACTTCAAAGTAAACTGTAAAAGTTATGGAGGCTCTGCAACAGTTACAACACCCCCTCTCCCCCCAAAACCAACAATCCCAAAACAAAACAAAACAGCATTTAAAAGAGGAAGCAGGTAGTTTTGGTGTTTATGGTAGTACTGTGAAAGATGAGTACAAAACATCCAAAACAATAAAAGACACACAGGCAAGGAGATGGATACCACACTGAGCATCAGATCACAACCTGCAGATCTTGGGTCACTAGGCCAGATATGTTTCTCAGTATCCATATAAAACATGAAATTTTGTAAACACTGCATGCAGTATTAAGGGCAATTTGCTGTGTTACTTGAAATCCCCAAAAATATTAGTCGTTGCAGTTAAGAGACTGCACATGTTTTTATGTTGGAAAGGTGTTTAGGCAAGAGCAATAGCACCAGAGAGAGGACACACTAAAATGTTTTAAAGTGCATGTACAGAGAAATAGGCAGAAGAAACAATTCCATTCCAAAAAAAAAAGAAATGACAGAGAATCACAGTATATAGACAGAAACAAACGAAAATGTAGCATTTGATTTTAGAAGGGACAGTTGCATCAGTGATGCTTATGTCACTTGGAGTAAGGACCAGTCTAAGGTCACCAAGTGCTAAAATCTGTGAAAATTCAGACCTGAACATGTGTTCTCAACACCAAATCACTCTAACAGCTGATCCAAAGATGGAAAACCCGTGACCTAGCAAATTTCCTATCTAAACTGTTGATGCTGAGTAGTAAAACCCTCTGCAAAGCACTATTACTGTCTGCTGTTGAGAACACCAGTAAGAGAAATGCTGTTAAGCACCTTAAGTGTCTCAACAACACAACCATAGTAATTGTCAGCCATATAAGCCTCACAAAGAGCACACAGACATAAAATAGACATACAATCATAAAACATACAAGGTGGTAAAATGAAAACTGACAAACAGGTAACAGGACCAAGAGTCTTGGACTATGCCTTTCAGGTAAGCACCCATATATAAAAATATTAATTAATACTATATATACATATACGTGATTATTTATATGCAATCCTGGTATTTTCCTTCACCTTTAGAAAAACTCCATTCTGAATTGGAAAAACCTTTCTAATTAAAAACCCATAGTAGCAACAGAACCATTTTCTATAGACAGAGCAGCAATTTTCAGGAAAAATACATTCAGTAAAATATTCCTGATCAGTTTAACTGTGTCAAATAGTTAAAAGCCAGAAAAGAGGCACCGTGGCAATCTTTCAATTATGAGTGGGATAGGGCCTTCCACGGCCTGGGTGAGGGAGCAGAGGGGCCATGGCTGCTTGGTGAAGAAGGCTGTGCCTCAGAGTGGGTGTAAGGGAGAATGGAATGTGGGGAAGAAGATGTTTGCAATGAAGGGAGGGAGGGGAAGGGGATTTTCACATTAGAAAGGATACCCTAGATATGGTATAGTGCATATGGGGAGATTGGATAAACTCACCAGAGCTATATCACTCAGATGTTTTTTCTGCTTTGGCTCATAGATTGCTTATATGGATAGCAGCTCAAAATTTTAAATAAAAAATCAAGGCACTGAGGTCCAGATGTATAGAAACCCATAAAGATTAATCTTAAGTCTTTAGCCATAATTACATTGTGCTCTGTTTCTTCATTGTTTTCCAATTTTTTTTAATATACAAGCATGTGTACATCAGAAGTTAGCATTAGTTTCAGCACACTCCTCTATCTCTCTTCCCATCAAAAAGGGGATAAAAATTCATTATTTGTTTATATGGTCAGTGCAAAAATATCTTTGAAACTGCATTTTTCATGCGCGTTAAAATATTATGTTTTCCAGATTTTACCATGTTTCCAAAGAAACTGCAGGATAGCAACAGACAATTGTAATTCTTCCACTTACATTTCCAATATGTACACTATCAAAAGTATGAAAGTAAAATATCACTCTGGTACTTCTATAGACCCACAGGAGATATTGGTGAGGTAAACATAAAACAAAATTTCTGTATCATTCTGTTCACAACGACAATTTAGCTAGAACACCCATACAGGCAGTAGAACAGCTTTCAAATAAAGATTATAATACTAGTTATTAAGATATGAAGGAAACGATGAAAATTTGAAATATCAACCATTCATTAAAATGAACAGAATGAAAACTTTTAAATAAAAAAGCTCTAATTAAATATATTCATACATCAATCAGCACAATTTGGTATAACTGATGTATTGTCACTTAATTTTTTCCCTCAAGTCTTGCATAATTATAATTCTACAATTAAATGAATAGGCTAAATTAGTTCCTAAATTTTGCAGATTAATTTCTTTCTAACAAACCTGTCTTCTCTGAAGATATTAAAATATATTATGTAGACTTGTTATCTTCTGGTAAATGTAGACAGTAAATTTACTAATACCTACAGGCTTGATGAGGTTTCTGTGGGTTTCATACTCCATGGAATTAAAGAAAAATCAAAGGTTATTTTCCTGACAATTACACCCCCCAAGAATTACCACCCATTTTATATTATTGTAGTAGGCTGCTTAATAAGGAAACCTGATTAACCTGATCAATATGCTAAGCACCAGTATCCCACACTCAAATAATAGTAGGAATCTCAAAATTGCCAATTCACACTAAGGACCAAATAGCCTCTGTGAATTGTTGAAGCAATTAAAACCACAAAATAATCACATCTGAAAAAAACACATTAGCTACACTTTTCTCATTTAAAACTGAAATGAAACTAGGAGCATGTTATGTAGCATACCACTGTCTCTGTTTCCATGGCATTTACAATACTAGTCAAATAGCGATGTTATTATAAAATATCTTTTTGAAATAGTATTCTTTTAAAACAAAACTTTTTGACAACACCCTGCTGTAAATCTTTCACAAGAAATAGAGAGATATCTCTGTAATTTACTATTCAGAATTCAGAAATTGATAATAAGTAACATTTAAAATACTGATGCACATGCTTTTTATTTTCATGCAGAAAGTGAGTCTATATATAACTGTTTTACACAATAAGTAGTAATTACAATTATTTCCTACATACAGAAAGATGAAAAGGCTTTCCTGTGTAACATGTGCCCTCAGCCAAATTAAACAGTACACAAAAAAACATGTGTACATAAAAGTGATAAATACTGCATAAGCTGTACAGAAAATGCTTCTCATCTAGAGCTCATTCATAGCTACTCTCATTTCAATGCAATACAAACAACACTACAGTCTGCCAAGCTTCCACATCATTTCTATGAAAGCATCAAAGGTGAAGATTTCCAGATCAGTTCCCCAGTACAGATTTGGTGCTGACTTTACTGAAAGGCAAAGAAGAGATGAGAAGGACATTACCTGACTGGACTCTGTTCCAGCAACACTAAGATCTTGAATGGATCTGCGCCTCTGCTGTCCGTTTCCTGCTGGGAAAAAAACAAAACAAAAACAAACCAGTGAAATATATTCAGAACAAAATAAGAAGGGTGCGACTGTTGCAGAGGAGCTTGGAATTTGTACAAATCCACAGAGACAAAGTGAGAGAGGGGGAGAGACAGCTGCAGAATTTTAACTCAAAACATGCTGGCCTGTCAACAAAAAGTATACCCTAATACAATAACCACTCCTACCACATGAATAGCTGCTGCACTCTACTCCACCATCTTCTGTCACATGTATTTGGTCAGGCTTAGTACTTGGGGCAGGAGCTGATGACGACATCTATTTCAAGTGCGTTACGTTATGGGGATTTCTAAAAGCTAAACCACAAAGATAACAGGCTGCCAGCTTTAACCTGTTGCTCTTTGGCTTGCTCAAGGAACACAGCAAGGACTCCTGCCTGCGTGACGCTCCCCTCAAGAAAAGTAAGAAGTGAAAGCGCTTCCTTCTGCTCTCCTGTCTCCTTCAGGGGAACGAAACTATGTCCTGTTCTCATGCTCTGAGAAGTGTGAAAAGGGGACCGTTCAGCTAAATCACATCTCACCATCAACCTACGAAGCACAATGCTGTAATCTTTTCCTCTTCTCCTTCCACCTGTTCGCAATTATCCACCAGTGACAGCTACATAAAACAGTTTAAATTTTAGCACTGACAAGCAATCAAAGGCATTTTCAGGAAACAAAATCTCCTTAAAAATAAAAGGAGATTATGCAACAGAATCTCCCTGACTACTTTGATTTTTATTACAGTGATTGTTTATATTATCTCTTGAGAGCAAGTCAGCTGTCCAAAAGGAAACACCAAAATGTCCCCAGTAACAGCTGACAATGCTCAAAATTCTTGCTCTTAGCTCTGCATTACGTAACTCTGCTACTGGAGGGGAGCATCTGAAACATGTACTGCAGCCATGGCAGCCCCTCGCCCAGCAGCCCCACACTCAGCCACCAACACAGCTCACTCAAAGCCCTGCAAAAGGCATCACATTGCTGACCTTTTGGATACTTCTCATTCAGCATAATTCCCACGACTCCAAGCCTATCCTGACACATGTTTTGAATTGCAACAGTTACTACAAAAATGTAAGACTATTTAATATTAACTGATATATTTAATAAGCCTTTAAGTTTTTAAATATATGCATTATTACACATAGGAGCACACTAAACAGCAATACAAAATGCTTAGTGTCATTTTATCAATTTGGCATGTTATTTTAAAATTTACAGAAGATACTTTAAGAAACAAGCATATAAGAAGGAGAAGAAGCATATAAGAAGTCAAGCAGGATTCTAAATCAGGAATATACTTTTTGCTCTGACTACAAACGGATGTGAATTGCAACTGTTCTGTGGTCTTGGTATTTTGCTTCTGAAATTCAGGGAAAGTATATACTTACCTAAGCAACAACAGCTAAGTTTGTTTAATGCTTTCATATGGGGATCTTGTGAATTACAAATCTATGTAAAAATGTCTGAACTTGTTCATTTGCAGTGAACTTTTCCTCTATGCAATTGTTTAACAAACAAGATTATACATTTAATAGAATTCTGTGCTGTGGATACTTCATCTGGCTGCCACAGCTCATCTCAATATGCAACATATGCGAAATCCACCCACAACTGATACAAAATTATGTGCACATTTCATTCAACAACATTGTTATAAAATTAGCTCAGCTGAAATAGGCTTGCAAAAATATCTGAAATTCTCATTTCAGATTAGCAACATTTGTGAATTTAAAGAACCCAGCGCATGTGTTGCTGAAATATTAGAACATGGCTGCCAAAATGTTAAAATAATCAGGGTGGGGTGCAAGAAAGAAAAGAAAATGCCTTGCGGGAAGTGAAGGGGTGGGGGGGAAAGAGGGGCCAAAACTACTGTTGTAAAAAATGAACACCTTTAAATGAAATATCTTCAAGTTAGTAGCATGAGGGAAGAGCAAGCTCAACTAGGCAATGCCATTTTAATTAGTATAATACTGCAGACATCTGGCAAATAGCTTCAACAAGGCAGAAACAGACTACGAATCAACAAATACTTATTGCTCCAGATTCAAGACAAATTTCAACTGAAAAATACGCTGTACAACACAACAAAAATATTTATTTGAAAAGCTCATGGGTACTTCTTTATGCTTTCCTCTCCCAGTTTTGATCTTGTTCTTACCTCTATGTCCATTTAAAAATATTTTATCCTCATTATAATACTAAGAGATTTGTACATGGACAGAAGTTAATCTACAGTAACTTGATGCACAGTGTCAGGTTTTTGGTGGTTTACAGGATTTTAAGATTAAAAAGCAAAAGTCACAAATATACTTCATGGCCTCAGAACAACCCATTTCACATAGTGTTGTTTATTTTCTAAAATTAAATTCTAAAGGAACAGGAAACTTCCATCACGTCCTGCCCCACATACTCTAGGCAAAAATAAATTGTACAACTTACTAAGCTTTTGATCACCGCCCCCACCCAGCCGCCAAATATCCAGACCAGCTATGACCTCTTCTCCCTGCCCTTTAGCAGATACTTGCATCTCCTTTTACACTTTCTTATTTACTCACAGTCCTCTCTCTTCCTTACACACCTACAGGGCTCAAGCCTCTCTCACAGTGCAGGATGATTAAGTGACTGCAACATTGCTATAAGACATTCTGAAGAAGTTAAAACATTGATCTGAATTCCAGATGAATTAAGTGATCTGGGAAGACAAGAGTGGGATTTCTGGCATACATTGATTTTAAAAGTAGATAGAAAAACTACAGACCTACAGCATCCATAATTCCTATCTACCTTCTAAAGACCCTCTACAAAACGTGTCTATCTTGAGTAATCATTTATGCAGTGTCAATGCTATAAAAATTGTAACGCTGTGGCACAGTTTCAGATGACAAAATTACAAAGCCGAATGCACACATGCTAAATGCACGAGATGTCTAACATTGCCAGTGAAGAGAAGGCTGTACTTGTAGGTATATTTGCTAGATGCTGCTTGAATGGTTTCTACCAAAAAAAGTACACAAATTAGAATTCAGATTTTTTTTTGTTTCTTTAAACATAAGGATATTAAACCTCTTGTACTTACTAGGGTTTTCATTTTTTTTATATATGAATATGTATATAAAAACAAAGTTGGTGCTTATAACCTGTACTATAAATACTGTAAATGAAAAAAAAAGAAGCGATACATCACTAGGCTATCTGGTTACAAGATACCACCACTGCAAACTCATTTGCTAAGCTGTTACACAAAGGACAAATTTTTTGACCCATCTTTCAGTATTTAAGTTTTGTAAGCTAGTAACACAAAATACCATCTTAAATAAACAAATAGCTCTCCTCACTCCTACAGTACCTACTTAGGAAGAAGAGCAAATATATTCTAAAAACTTTCCCTTCTGACAATATTTTACCTTTAATTGATAAAGTATGTATTTTACGACCTTGGAAGCATAATCAGTTCATGGACGAAATGCAGTTGAGGCAACGCATTACGAAAACCCCCAATGATAGCAGATGTAGCACTCATACTTCCAAAATAGCCCTGCCCAAAGCAGCTGACTCACGGTAACATGCCTGCCTGGTGCTTCCCCTCTCTGGGCAGCAGCTGCTGTGCCATGTGCTCAGCACAACTCCAGGCAGCAGCACAGACCGGCGCTTGTGCGGCTCCAAGGACAGGGACGAGCTGCTCGCCCCACCGAGGGACGTGCCCGGGGAAGTCGGCAGGAGCTGGGTCTGTGGCAAAAGCAGCATGGAACGTAACTGGGTGGGATTGAGATGGCGGTAACAGTTTGGGGGGCTTGGAAGCTTAGGGGTCTAGAAAGTGAAAAGTGTGTTCAGAGGCCAGAACCGAGAGCTTTGTGCTGAAAGAGTAAAGAAAGGAAAGAAGTGAGAACTATACAGATGAATATAATTAGTTTACTGGGTAGATGATCATGTTCTGTCATGTAATGAATAATCTCATTTTTTTCTGGCTTTGGGATTATTACTGGAAAGCTGTTCTGACAACTGGAAAGTTTTCAATATAAAGCCCAGATTTATTTGCAGACAATTTACATATTTTTTCTGTAGTGCCAATACTGTCTTTTAGCTTAAGTAGTCATCTCTTCCTAGTTTTTAGCAGCAGATTCAGCTATAGAAAATAATTATTCATTCTCAGCTTTCACTTTGTGAGGTAAAAAAAGCCATGCTTTCAGATTTGTTTTTATACTCTCTATATCCCTCATATCCTAGTAACTCTTCTTCATATTATTTGAGTGCATGTATGTTTCTTTTATATAGCCGACCAGAAGAGTATGTTCAACTCCTCATTCAAACTCAACAAGGGCCAGTAATAGTGTCAGTGCTTCTTTATTTTTCCTGGAAATGCACCTTAAGATTTCACAGTTTTTCACAACTACATTAAATTCATGGCTCATACTACCTGGAATTAATCTGCATGCATGTGCTATGATCTCATGTCATCTTATTAATAGAAATTGTTGTTAGTGCATAACTCTGGATTTTACCCTATTTCTATTCAGTCACAGCAAAATTCTCCCTATTCTAATCCTCCTCTTAATGAACAGTTGCTTCTGATAAAGCATTAACTCAAACTCATTTCACTTAAATACTTTAGGAATAAATTTTGAGAAAACTCCTTAATATGCTTGCTCCAACCCTATACCTTTTTTTTTTTTTTTATTTCTACAGGTTTCTATTTCTTTCACATGTATTCCAAATTCTTGAAATTCTCATCCAGTCAAGTTCAATTAAAATAGACCAGGTGAAGAATTTCAAATGACTGCCTCTGCCTAAGAAACCAATAGGCTGGTAATGGTACAATACAATCTGTTTTGTGAAAATAACATTGTATTTTATTTCACTAACTTCTTCATCATTGCCTAAAAGCTTCAAAGTTTCTTGGAAGCCTCAATGTTTTTATGGACAGACAGTGTATGGAGACAAGAGGCACTCATTAGCTTCTAGAGCTTACTTACCAGGCTCTCATCATGAGTTAACACTGAAACTGGACAGATGTCTTTACTTTCGCTTTCCTTCTTTCTCAGGATTTCATTTATGTCAGTGCAGGCCAGGACTGCTTGAGAGTTACAGTGGAAAGCTACTCTAGTAAACTTTCTTGCCAATTTGTTAGCCTCAGTGCCAAAGAGGTTTGCTTTTCTATGGGTGCTAATTGCTCTTTGGAATCTACTTTCTCATATTCTGTATTTCTACTGTAAGCTTCAATAAAGTTATTTGAAAGAAACCTTTGTACAAAATTATCTTTTGCATTTAATACCTAACAATATCAAGATTTACAAGGAAACTTCCTCAGATGACAGAAATTTAGAAGAGGAGTGCCACGGTTTTTAGTGGATTCCTAGATACTTTCACTCACATTTCCTCATTTTCTGCTTCTGACATATCACTCTGAAGTGACTTGCATACTGTTAATGGTATGCCTATCACAGTTTGGGATTGATTATACTTATTTTTAGGCTTTGAGAAGTATGAAATGAAAGAAAGAAAAATGTCATTCTATTAACTAAAAAAAGACTTGGAATACATGAGAATTATTCATGAAATTCCCAAATGATATTCCCATCTATAGTGCCTGATTATATTAATTTTTTTCCTATCAAAAGCCTCTCCTAGTAATTTTAGTTGGCATTAACCTAAACACCACAGCAATACCTCATGCACACACACTTTAGCCCTTGAAAAGTGTACTCAAATATAAGAATTACACAGACTAAGTGTTAATGTTTTAATCACAAATATCACATGGATTTAAAGTTCTGTACATCATTTATCTTAGCTTTTTTTCCACTATGATCTGATTAAAAATGGGAGCCTAAACACAACAAAGATTAAGGCAAAACAATTACTTAGACAGGAATTTTTCAACTTAGTTCCATTTTCACGAAATGAGGTACTGTAATACAAGACTGCATATATAGTTTTCCTCTATAAGAAGACTCTGAACATCAAGATCTTAAGGGAAAACATCCTTTATCAGTAGAAGTAAATTTGAATTAGAAGACTGAACAATTTACTGACAGAAGTAAGTTTGTAATAAAATATCATGCTCCTCTTTACTGAAGCATTATGAAAAATTTAGTGGGATAATTTCTGGACCTGCCCTAAAGCAACTGGAGCAAGAAGTATTTCAGCAGTCTGATCATTATTCCGGCATCTTAACCAACTGACCCGTTCACCTGGTCTGCGATACCTGGTATGATGATCTCAGGGACATCCAGAATGTTGCCAAATGAAGCAGTTTTACGATGGCCTCGTTTAGGCTTGGAATAGGCTGAAAAAATACACATATACAATACACATGCAAAACACTAAAACGGCAAGAGCAAAATTATTAAATTCCTAATACTGCATTTTTCATATATTTGGTTAAACTAGAGTTCATGCAAAAATGTGTCATGCAGAATAAACTGCATTGCCTTCCACTCATGCTTACACATAGTAAAGCAACTGTTAAAAAGCAAAAAATGCAGAACTAGCCATCATTACAACACAGTGTAATTAGTTATAGTTAGCAACACAAAGGTCAAACACAGAAAGCAGCATGGCAACACAGAAGGGAAAACCAAATGTAATTATCCAAACAGAAAACAAATTAAATTTTTTCAATTCACCTATACATTCAGAAATAAAAGAAGACTTGACTGCCTGAACATAACTAACATTTTCTCTTTAGTGTTAGGCACAAACTATTTTATTAAAAGTCTAATAGCTAGGTACTTCTGCTTCTTTAAACCACCTCCTTTCAAAGGAAATCTCATCTATCTCTGAAAAAATATTTACTTTTACTACATTTGACAATCATTCCTGCCACTTACTCTTTTGTCCTTCCAGTGAAGATTTTTTGTTTTGAAAACTGGATATAACTACCAGCTTTTAAATTTTTGAATAATGCTCAAGAAACATTATACACCTTGAAATAAAATCTAATTGTACTTTTTTTTTATTTTACCACTTCTGTAGTTTAAGATAAATAGTTCCTATTTAGAGAAAAATCTGAATGCATCTCCAGAGGGTAGAACATTGTAGCATACCTGTCTCAGTAAGTAATGGTGATGTGCATTACATGATTTACTCTTACAATTAATCCAGAGGACGATGGAACAAGATTAAATAATTTTCAACTTGATTTAACAACATCCCAATCCTCACCCAGCCATGCAATTTTTTTCAGGTTCACAGCATATTATTTCTGTCACATGGCTAACAAGATTAAAAAAAGAAACCAATACAGTGCTGTTTCACCTTTTTTGAAAAAGTTAGTCAGATGTGCTTGACCACATTTCTCATAGTCCAGTACTGCATGAAGTGATTTCCCAAAAATTATCCAAAGAACCCCAAACCAAAAATTGTATGTTCAATGTGTACTTTTATTTCAAGAAAAAGAAACCCTTCAGTCATAACAAAAAACCACCAAAAAGCCCTTAGATTATTCCGAATAGTAATTACTATTTCAGAGCAATGTACTTAAAGAAGACAAACTAGGAAAATTAAAAACTCTTACAAAGGAGGGCCAGGCTATCTCTGATAATGTCAATAAGTTACATTAAGAATGTCAGTGACCAAAGTGTGTCCTGACATGTTTTAAAATAAAACCAGCACAGTGTTATTACCAGGTAAGTACACAGCTGCCTTCTGTGTTAAGAAACCTTTATAGATATTCAGGGTGAGATGTGCTACACAGTCATCCAGTCAAAGACTGACAATACAATAGACAGATTTTGGAATAAGGCTTTAAAATAAAAACATTAAAGTAAAAAAAAATTAGGGCAAGATAAATATTATTTCAGTACCTCAGTATTTAATAAAACAATATCCTGGAGTAACAATAACACAATGAAGAACAAAAATGAAATAGCCATGGCGCACAAGAAAGCCAGAATTTGGATGTGTAATTTCTTACTAATTGCAGCTACTCAACTACCCTAATTTTAATATTGGTATAAAATTACTCAAACAGCTAAATAACCCTGAAATAACCAAAGTAATTTTGTTTAATTATTTAAATCTGTGCTTATATATTGTAACACAAAAAACTTTCACATATGGAACTTAAAACCTGAAGTTTACATATATTAACAAACAGTATCTTTGATGAAGAAAAGAGACAAGAAAGTGTTTGCCAAGTGTACACATTTTTATTAATTCACTCTTCTGGGATGAATCAAGATTGCTTTCACCATAAAATTATGTATTTATACTTACAGATAAATTCTAATTCTCTCAATGATTTAAGGCTTAGAGATGACAGTTTGTATCTGAAGGAAACCTGGCAAAACACCTGTAGCTTGTTTTTAACAAAAGACAACAATGCTTTCTTAACCTGGTGAATAAAATCTAATTAAGTTTCTCATTTTGAAATCTGTCACAGTGGATTTTTACACTTATTTGGGAACAAGAACTTTAAACCTACCTTTTAATTTCAAAAGTATTATAGAGACCACCCTGAAGAATATGTTATTATATAAATAATTATGCTAGCAGAGATGAAATAATACTATTTCAGATAAAAAGGAGAAAGTTGCGCATTTGGAATAGGACTAATATTTAGAAGTCTCATAACGCTTTTTAAAAAATGGTAAAAATCTAATTCAACAAAATCTAAAACTTTTAAAATACTCAATTAAAATACTCAGTCTTGCTGAGCGTATCACCATAAATAAAGGCATTTTCCCCCCACAATTAATAAAGGACAATCAAGACTACAGGAAAACTTTAAGTATTTTCATATAGCTATTATTGTCAACTTTGTATAAGACTATGCATGTTTTACATTTTCCTTCCTACTTTATTTCTTTCCAGTTCTTTAGTCTACTCCCCAAACATCATTAAATTTTACCTGTGATGGAAGCAATTCTTGCTTCTATTTCAGACATGTCAGCACTCATCCTTTTGGCTTCTCCGGAAACAAGGGCGGACGGTGGTCGTGCGCGAACATCTGACAAGCTCTCAACGCTGCTCCCACGGGATGGGGGCAAACTCAAACGGCCAGGGTCACCCTGTTCAACAGTCACACCTTGTGAAAAGAAAATTCTGCACAAGCCCCTCCATAGTATGCACCAGTATGTTTCTACAGTATGCATTTTCAAAGGGACAAGATTTAAAATTCATTACACAATAAATGGCAATAATTGGTATAAACAAATGAAGTATGTGCAGCTTTGAAAACAATCTAACTTCACACAGATAAAAAAAATCAGCAGAATTAGGCCAATGTTGTCATAAGAGAATCTTTGTATTTTTGCATTCTGCTTGAATTCTACTTCAAAATTCACCTAAAATGTTTAATCCCTTCATGTCATACTAGTATTTTGATTATAAATTAAGGCAACAATTTTCAAACATACTTTTTAAATCTAACAAATCCCTTTAAATACATTGGAGATGTATTTAAAGGGATTTATTAGTTTAAAATTAGAGCCTTCCAGTTTACTTTTTTGGCACCGTACAACATTTTTCTGTCCCTTTTCTTCTACATTCTTCTCCTATAACTAACTGCATTCAATTCTGCACTATTTTGAATGAGGACACATGTCTCAAAACAACACAACACTTAGGTCTACCCATGTCCATTTTTTTAGTATGGTTCAAAATTGCACCCGTTGGCTTACCGGCTGCTTGGCTGTATTTTTGATTTGCTGTGCCAATTTTGATTCTAAACGTTTAATAGTGTCATTGGTAGAAGCTCCTTGGAAGTCACTTGGCTCCATGTTAGCATCGCTCTTGTTACTTGTGTTCGTAGAAGTGATGTCCATGAATGAACCTAGAAAGCAGTAACAAGGAAAAGCATTTGAGAATGTCCACTAAAAATACTGAAGTACATCTTTTCACAGCAAAGCTCTAAGATGTCTAACTTGCCTTTAAAGCAATACTTGAAAAAACTTTTAATGAAAGACAAGTGGCAAGACTGCTACAGATCAATTAGTATAAGCAAGAGGAGTGAAAAAAGAATATGTATCTAAATACTATGATAACATTCTGAAGTCAATCTTTACCTTTCTTTGAAATTTTTAGGGTAGCTGTTATATTAACAACATAACAGCAACCTCATTCACAATTAATGACAAAGACCATCATTAACTACAGAGCAGCCCAAACACCTGAAAAATATCAGCCAATATCTATTCATGGTTTGATGTGATAAATTGACTTAAAATCATGCACTGAGAGGTGAAGAAAAACTACTAAAGTTAGTGAAATGCTAAAGCTGCAAAGTTATTTTTAATATAAAGATCACTAAGCTGCAAAGTACTCAGTGAAGCTTTATCCAAAATAGCAGCAATTTCTTTGGTGATAGAAAATAATTTAACCAAGCAGAGGAAGCTGGAGACATGTAAAATAAAAAACTACTTAAGTGGAAAAAAATGTACTCTAAACAATAAGAAAACTAAATGTTTTTTTAGTATTATTAAAAAAAGGATTTCTTTGAGGGCAAAACTACCTGAAAATCTAGCCCACATTTTGTTCCATCCAATGAAATTTCTAGTGATTTTTCTTGCACTTATTTTAAATTACTGTATTTACATGCAACTTATCATAAAACAAATGCAAGTTTAAATCGTGGAGATTACAACTTAAATCAGATGCAGCTTTCAAGAATAGTGAAACATTTTAAATTGACAACTCCTAAACATTACATATGAGTAAAAGAGTGTCAATTGCTAGCAACATACAGGGGGAAAAAATGGACACATTAAACCCAGGCATTTGGAGACAGCTTTTATTATAAGCTTTTTCTTAATTACAAGCACACTTCAGCAAAACCATTTGGCTGAGAACACTAAGTATGAAGTATTAACAAAATAAATAGGGTCTGCTGATGCTTAAGATTTCAGAAGTGTTTTCCACTTTGAGTTCAAAATCAATGTAAGAACATGTTTTACAATCTATCTGCATAATTTCATGTTGCTGTTCTTTTTCTCTAACTTAAACAAATGTACCTGTGCTAGTGGCAGAGTTGCTTTGGCCTTCATCTGAATACTGGCAAGGATATTGCAGAGGTTCATCAGCTCCTGGAAAGTACTGTGAAAAACCAGTAATTATTTAATTAAAAAGTAATTACAATTGTTTTAAAACTATTTAAATAGTACCTCATAATTTATAAGTGTAAATTATATATTACATTTATAATAATTTATTTAGAAGATAAATGAATGCAATTATTTTTAATAATGTAATACATTAGATACACCTATGACTTTGTTTATTTTCTCAAATCTATTATGAGTTATTATACTCCTTCAAAGAGGAAATATAAACATATATATATGTATATAAGATGAATTATTTCCCTTCAATAATTTGGTAATTTTTGTCAAAAACAGAGAAGCAAAAGAAAACACGCAAGCCCACCTTTGGAGTCAGATGAAAAGCATACTTTTTGTATATCAATTTTCCAGCTTAATAGTTTAAGAAATTATTAAAATATGTAAATAAATTTTTATACCCGCATCAAGTGTGTCATTATTTTAACAATTTCCTCCATGGACGGCCGTTGTGAGGGATCCTTGGACCAACAACGGGTCATCAAACTCTCAATTGGTTTAGGTAAATTTTTGATCAGTGGTGGCCGAGTACCTGCAATTGAAATTAGAAAACACTTTTAAACAGACTCTAAAACAACTGAAGGTGTCTGATCTTGCTCCAGTATTTTGCTATATAAATAAAGGAAAATGCAGAACTAATAGTAATATGGATGAACTGGCTTGTACTTAATTTTCTCTCTTACAAATAAAAAACTGACAAGAAAAGTTCCTTTGCACTACATAGCAGCAGTAGAAATGAAATCAAACTTTTCCTTCAGTACAAGTTTGAATACATACACTGACTGACCAAATACAGCATATTAAAAAGGCTAATGAAATGTTACTTCTTTCTGAAGAATAAAGTTCTAGGCCAAATTAGAAAGCAAGTAATAACATTCTTTGGTTCCTAATGCTGTATTCACAAGGAAAAAAAAAGCCAAAAAAAACCCAAAAAAAAAAAAACCCAAACAAACAAAAAACAAAATTAAAAAAAAAAAAACCAAACAAACAGAAAAACCCAAAAGACTTAAAGTATTTTTGAAAGCTGATTTTGAAAGCTGCTCCTAAGAACATCCTGAAAAATTATCAGGCCCTGGAACTACCAATTTTGTGTGACTTTTTCATGGTCTATACTCATTTTTAATAACATTTTACCTCAACTATTGTATAAATATTCAGCTGTTTTTTGCTTCAAGTTCCTCCTCTTATTACAATTTCTATGAGAACAATTAATGGACAACCAGTTGTGCTGAATATATGAGATACAGTGATGGTTTGCAAAGAAAGTGGTAAGTACTCAAGAATATATTAAACAGAACAAGTAATACATGAAGTAAAAATGCCACAATAGTTTTAAGTGAGATGAAGTGCACTAACTTTCCTTCCTAAGAAAAAGGAAATGGAAAAAGATAAAGAAGATAAAATTTTAAAGCAAAAGTAGGTAGAGACAGTGAATTTAAGGTATACTCCCACACCTTACTGAGGCCTCCAAATTTAGTACTAGATTTACACTTAGTTTTACAGTAAATGCTTTTATGCAAGGCACACATCACTCATAATCTCATCACCCAGTGTCCTTGAAAAACTGGAGAATCTCATTCTTCACTCAAGAATGGCATTTACAAACATCTCTCTATATGCATTATTAAGACTATAATGTTAATTGATTCTGTCTCTGTCTGCCCCATTCCATTCTTTGAACAGGATATGCCTGTGCCCACCATATGCTTCTATCATTTATTACTGAAGCAATGACACTCAGGCAGAGTACCAGCCTTCATTGCTTGTTTGCTAATTTTTTCTTCCAAAAAGTTGGCGCTTGCCTTGATGTTGTCTCTCACAAATGGCAGAAACTCTTTGCAGATATTCAGTGAACTACTTCACTATCATTACTTTATTACTCAAGAAATTTGCCATAGTACCTAAAAACACAGCAGTAAAAAAATTACACCTCTAGCATGAAGATACTACAGCTTACTCTACTACACTGACCAATGTTACACAACTGCTTTAAAGAAAGCAGTCCATTTGAACACAACCACTGTGTCCTGTTCATAGTCTAAGCTCCTGAAAACCTGTTCTGCATAGCACCTAGCACAGCAGAGTGCTGCTCCATGAGTGCAGGTACCTAGGCATAGAGGTAAAACCATTCAAACAGCAGAATAAAAAAAAAAAAAAACCCCAAAACACCACAGATGAAAAACAAAAATAACATTTTTAATGCCTAATGTTCCTGGAGGAGGTTTCACAGTTTCTAAGATTTATAAACACAGGTTAAGTTACCTAAAGTTACACATTTCTTGTAAACATCCAATTAAAAAAAAAAAAGAAGTAAAAGAAAGACAATGTAGCTAATAAAATCATCATTCAGCCAGGTAAGAGGTTTTTCTCAGATCACTTTTAAAATGGAGTGTTGTAATAACGAGGACATTACTCTTTATCCTTTGTTCATACACCAGTTACACTGCAGCAAACACGGTAGCAGCCAAGTAACTCAAAAGTCACACTGACACAAAGTGGCAGTATCTATTTAGTCTTTGTGACAAAAATGCATATCCAATGAAGCACAAAATGGAAACACTAGTAATTTAAAGCTGTACAGTTAAGAATGTTCAGCACATTTATAGGTCATATACACAACTTCAAATGCAATAAAGTGTTTTCAACTCACCATTGTGAACTGCCCACATTATCCGGAAAGCTGGACCACCAATCTCATCAAAAGGTTTCCTACGGGTGATTACCTCCCAGAGAATAATACCCCAGCTGAAAACGTCACATTTTTCACTGTAATTGCTACCTGGAAGAAAGCCATCAATATAATTTGACTCTTTTCTATGTAACATGTCAAAAAGAAATATAGTTTGAGCAGATCATAGAATCAGGCTTTAAAAGAGCTCCAAGATCACTGAATCCATCCTTTCACTAAACACCATAATGACAACTAAACCACAACACTAAGTGTCATGCTGAGTCACTTCTTCAATGCTTCCAGGGATCCTGACTCCACCACTCCCCTGGGCAGCTTGGTCCAATAAATAAATAAATAGCTTTACATACTTACTTTCACTTCACATTTAGTTTGCTGAGAAAAAACAGTTTTCTAAAGCTGGCTGATTCATGCTAACTTAAATCTGAAATCACTTGACAGTATGACTGTTAAGAATGCCCCTCTCTGGAAATCAATCCTTTTCATTTGGAGTCATCTTGAAATGATAAAATGCATCACTTTTCTTATATGATACAAACTGCAATTTATTAGGTTTTAAAAAATCTCTTGCATTCAGGGTTTAACTGATTATGTTTGCTTCCTCTAAATATTCTTCAATTCACTTCTTCCAACCTTAGTCACAATATGCCAGCCAATAACATCTGTCATATCCATTACTCTTAATTAATTTCAGGTCTTCAAAAGAACAACTAAGTTACTACATGAACAAAACAAGAGAGTCCTCAATTCCTCACCACCTTATTTCCTTCTTGTTTATTATTCTTATTCTTTTTGTAATGTCATTACTTAATTAAAACTCTCTGACCATAAATTCAATATTTCTAAGACTCCTAAGGCGCTGAAGACAGGTTGGGGATATAGAATAATAAATAAAAATGTTCAGAGGCTACAAAGAAAGAATGTATGCTTTGCAACTCATGCAAATGCTAATAAGAAATGTGAATGGCTAATGACATAAGAATATATATGTGTGAATATATATTTGTTTATCCCTAATCAGAAAGTATTATTCAGACTAATCATTTCAGTAACAGTGGAATTAAAGAAGTCTAGTTCCATGTGAATATCCACCATATAGCAACAGTTGAACAGGCTCCATCCACTACCTGTGAGCCAAGTTCCTCTGCCCCCCTATCTCTGACAAACTGCAAGGCCAACAGCCTGTTCTCTGGTCAGTTCTTCCAGTCCAGCCAGTTTGCAAGGCAAACACAAGAAACAGGCTGCAGCATGAGCCACAAGCCCTCTTTAAGTGAAGGCACTAATTTGGACTTTACAAAACTCTCTAAGAATGTGGATCTCAAAAACTCTTTACACTTGTATCAAAGTAGCTGAATGTGGACAATGAGTTCAAAAGGTACGAAGAAGAAAAAGCTTTATCAGTCAGCTCATTTTCAAAAATGCTGGGGAAAAAAAGTCATGTAAACAATGGCAGATCACCAAGAAAAGCAAAACAGTCTCATCTATGTAGTCACAGAATTTCTGTAACACAAAGCCTATAAAACTTGGCACATCACTAAGGTAAGCAAAACAGTCTCATCTATGCAGTCACAGAACTTCTGTAGCACACAGCCTATAAAACTAAAGTAGTACTATTCCCCTATTTGAGCAACGGAATTCTACTTTATGGCTGAGAAGTCTCGGACTAATTCTGAAAAGTGAGAGTCCAAAAGAAGTGAGAAAGTATTCTGTATTGTTTCCTTATTATCCTAAAGTAATTTAATTTTTTTAAAAAACAGTTTCTTCTAATGGGAGTTCTTATATCAGAATTGCTCTCTTTTATTTCATCCTGATCTACAGCATATTGTTTTTATTTAGATTATTTGATCTGTACAAGGCTTTAGGTGCCCTAAAGCCTTAGGTTTAAAATGGGGGAAAAATTCTTAATATTACAGTAACTAGTTCACTAAGCAACATGTTCTGCAACAGATGCTTTTCATGCCTTTATTGTTCTCACCTAGAAACCTTATATTAGAACACCATCAAATTAATATTAGCCTTTATTCCATTGTTGAATTCCATTGTGAAATGAATACTCCATTGTGCTGGAGTAACACAAGCAAAGGAATTTTTAATAATTTTGCCATTTAAAGTGGTTATTTTTAGTAGTTTAATGACTGTTCTAAGTGTAATTTGATATGCTGCATTGTAGAGGATGCATCATACTAGATTCTTTCCTCTCCTTGATACTTGTGTTTTTATAATGATTTGTCTATTTATCAGTAAATGCTTTCAGTTAAAAGCACATAAAAACAACTGTAAACTGAAGGCTTCTTGTGCTGTCCAACAATAACTGCAATACAAGGTTTCTTTCTACCTTGCTGGATTCACACACTAGAGGAACTAGGATATGAACTGCAAATCCCTATTACAATACACTTATTTATACTCATTTTATATTAAGATTTTTTATGAAAAAAAATCTATCTTTAACACTGATTGTTCAATTGCTTATTTCTAAAAGAAAAAAAAATCTCCTATTTATACAATTTAATTTAATAGAAAACAAGCATTAAGAAAAGAAGCAGTCCTGGCTAAAAAAATAGAGGAAGTGCCTGAATATAAAATGACATAACGGAAAATTTTCAGGCATCTGAGTGAAACAAATAATCCTCCAGTTGGTACTCTAAGCAATATGTGGAAGAAAATGGTACCTTCAGAACAAAAGTTCCAAAGGTGATGTTTGAGAGGAATACTAAAACTGTATATGGACAGTCTCTGGAATAAGGACAGTAAAAAGAAAAGAGGTCACCTGGATCCAGAATCTGGGAAACCACTGCTGCACATCAGCACTTGCCAAATACATCAAATCAAGGACACCTGCTTCCTAAAGCAGGAGGGTGACTCTTCCAGACCACTGCTAAATGGCATTGATAATTAAGGTACAGACAGATTAAAAGGTGTTTAGTCTGCAATTTAATATCTATGAGTTTATTTCTTTGATAATCATGCAGCAATTATAGGTATCTAATTATCAAGTATCATCAGCCTTCCCCAATTACACTCAAAGAAATAGCTTGTTTTTCTACATAACCAAATTAACTGGTATTAACAAGTTCCTCAGTATGTAGGAAAGAGGAAGTACATCAAATCTCTAGATTACACAAAAAGCAGGTGAAGATGGGAGTTACAAGAAAGTGGGGGATGAAAAAAGAAAGCAATTATGTTCAATTTAGACTCTAACAGGGAAATTCTAAAGTTAAAAGCTAATCAGAGTAGGGAGTGAAAGTAATGACAGTGTATTTAAATGACAGAAGAGTTTGAAATGATTTAAGAATCTTAGAAACAGCAAAACTGTGGGGAAAGAGCCCTCTGGCTGTATTTTACTGACTTACAAAATAAGGAACTGCTGCTGTCTAAATGTATTCCTTATGTAAATCTCAGCAATGATGAATAAAGGTTCTACATCTTCACATAAATAAATATGTAATAATAACACGAGAGATTTGGTTCAGTGCTATTCTTCAAACCTCTGCACAATTATTTGACAATATACACTTGTAGAGATTTTTAAAAAAATGTTAGACTTCTGCCAAAACTCTTTCAGTTTTTAGTAAACTTTATTTTAAGGACTACATGACGGTCTTATTCTTACACCACATTAATTCACAGTTGCATCCCTATAAAGAAAATGTAATATTGACACTGAATTTTTATTACCTTCAAAAACTTCAGGTGCCATCCAAGCAGCACTTCCTTTGTTGTTGGTCATGTGTGTTTGAATATCACAGGCTGTACCAAAGTCACAGATTTTTAGAACAGTCCCCCCAGCTACCAAGAGCAAACTATCAAAGAAAAAAAAGGATATTAAACCACTTTTTTTTTTTAAATCCCAACAACTATTATTCTAATATAGGTGAATATCTTAGGCTTTGTATCTCAGGGCTTTGTTTTATAATCTGGGAAATAAAGAAGGTCGTTTGTGTCTAATGTGAACATATTACAATTATATGATGTAATTTATTAATATTTCTATATGCTAGATCTTAAATAAATATCTTTAGCCATAGTAAACCACTAAGCATATACTGATAAAAGTAGACTTTCAGATACCAGGGGCTGAAAACCAACAAATGCTGTAACAATTTTACCAAAAGAAGAACAATCAAGACTCCCACCAATGTCAATCAATGTAGCTATTTATTTAAACTGAAGCACCTGAAGTTACATGGAACTCTCTAAATCAAAACTGAGGAATACAAGAAAGGACTAAAGATTTAAATTGTGGCTTCATGTTATAATTTTATCTGGTAATAACTGCAAATTACCACCAAAAAGGGATGATTCTGCTGATCCTCAAATATCTGTTTCTATCTAATCTGTGGAGCCAGATCTGAAGCTGTGAAATGAGCTGGATAACAAACTGACTGGGTAGGAAACCATTAAATTTTGTTTTGGTGGAAAGTGATGGGAGCTTCTGGCAGGGGTAGTGGAAAAAGCAGAAGGAGGGGATAAAGGAGGATGGCCATGTGGCAAAAGAGCTCTAATGCAACAGATTAAATGTGACATTAGAACAAATCAACCTGCCCCACAATGATCTCTTATTAAATACCACAACCATTCCAAAACTGGAAGATTTTAAATGCCTCTCATTAGAAGCCCTATTCCTAATAAAATCCTCTTCCATGATGGATATCGGTAGCGGGAGAGGATATAAGAAAATAAAGATAGTGTAGAAAGTAATCTTGCCCCTAAGGAGTTGCAGCTGGGCCCATTATCAAAGATTAGGAACAGGCCTGACTTTAACAGGCCACAGCTGTAACCAATGAGAAGAAGATGCTATAAAAGAGTGGGGTGGGTTGAGAAGGGAACTGGAGTCAGGTGGCTGCTTTGTGAAGAAGAAAGAGTCAGTGCTCTGGGGAGGTGCCCATGAGAAACACCAAGAAGGTATGAAACTTTTGTGATAAGAAGACAGCAGTATGGAACCCCTCCAAAAGGATGACAACACGTACCCTGCAAGAGCAGGGCATTTTTCCAGTTGAACAGAAAGTAACTGAATACAGTTAGTTTTCTGTATCATAAATCATCATTCTGCAACTGAAGTTTCATATGCACAGCTTTCATTTGGAATACAGTTAATCTAAATGTTAGTACTAATTAAAGGTATTTCTTTTAAATGCAATAAAGCTATTCTAAATGATCTTAAATCCAATTGTAAGAAAAAACGAAAAAAGAGCTCTAAACCTACTTTGGTGGTTTCAGGTCTCGGTGAATTAGAGCCTTTGGCTTCATACTGTGGAGATATGCCACTCCTTGGGAACATTGTAAACACCAACTCATGGCATGTGCGGCAGTATAATGAGGCAGAGGTTCAGCACCATGCAGCACTGCAAAACAAAGGCACAAACTAAAAAGAACTTTATTGCATATTACAACAGATACAATGGAGTTAACAAAATACCAGTCAGAAAGCTCTATGAAATCTAAGTAATCACCAACACCTCATTACTGAACTAAAAATACCTTTCTGCAGACTGTTAAAATAACAGAAATGTCAAAATATTTCCCATCTTTTTTAGTACATTTTCCATAATAATTTATGTTAAAATTCAATATGAAAAGTGTTGCTTATTCTCAGCTATCCCTGGTAGAGTCTATGTTAAACAAATGCCCAGGGAATTTACAAATTAGGGAAGAATTTTTTCAGATGTTCCACTGAAAAACCTTACATTACTTGTATAAAATATAAGAAACTGCTACCAAGAACAAACCAGTGAACTGAAAAGATGTTTAAAAATGCACACTCCTTTCTCCTTACATTATTTTAAGAATCGCAAAGAAACATATAATAGTTGGAAGAGATCTCTGGAAGTCCACCAAGCAAGTAAAGCAGGCCACCTCCAGCCAGTTGCCCTGGACTGTGTTCAGGTGGCTTCTGAATAGCTCCAAGAATGGTCTCTACTGAATTTCATATTTATGAAACAACTTGTAGTTTACATGTTTGCCCTAATACTAGCACTTTAACTCTAGGAAGCTGAAATGATACTCACCATTGTATAGAGAACCTCCTTCAGCATACTCCATAACAAGACACACCTTTGGGGGGAAGGGGACAAAAAATGGGCATATTTTCAATGCAGAGGCAAAAAATAGCTTTTGTAAACTGAAAGGGAAGTTCTTTGAGAGCAATTGCAAAGCCTCCATCCCTAAGCTAATGGAAAATACATCAGTCAGTTTGCAGTGTATGTATTCACGCGTAAGAAAAATCAGTTTTACACTTAGTTCTCACTGGAAGTTAGAAAATAAAAGAATGACTTCCCTCCTCCTCAGACTTAAAAAGCAAATACTGTTTTCCAACTGCAATTCATTGTCCTTTATACCTTTAGTGGCTTACAAAAAAAAATTTGTGAAATACTATGCCAGAAGAATTTCACCAGTACAAAGAAAGAAAAGGGATGCGGCATTATTTTAAGCAATTAAATAGTCCATACAAGAATTAGCTAAGGATACATCTGTCCTGACACAGTACCCTCTTTTCTGCTTAGAGAATTTGTGAGACTGTTTGCAGCTGTGGCAGAAGGCAAGTAAATCCTGAAAATTACATGTATGAAAATAGGAGCTGAACTATAACTGGTGATGAGAAACAGATTTGGGGTGTTCTTGAAAGAATTTATTTTTTATAGCATTAGAAAGGAAAAACAAATATCTGAAAATATCAACCACCCTACATATCTGTGTATTTACTTATTATGGCTAAAACATGAAAAATATACAAAAGATGCATTTTTAATATAACATACATGTTCTGTGCATTGATGCTTGCATATGTTAAGCTAGTTACCTTTTGTCATACTGACATAAGTTATAACTTACTGGGTTTAGGCAGGCTCCATATAACTTGACAATATTGGGATGGTTTACCCGTGACAGTTGTCGAAGCTGCAATACAAATCAGAGTTTCAAACCACAGGAAAAAAAGGCTAATGCTTTATTTTCATAGCTATAAATAATACAACAGCAAGTACAGTCTTCTATGTCTGCATAACTCCAGATGGTGATTTCACAAATTACAAGATTTATGTCACTCTTTGCATTTAATTTATGTAGTCAGGTTTGTGTCAAAGTGGACATGTATTTTAAAAGAAAGTTTTACGAAATTATGTTTAACAAAAGTATTTTTGTCTAAAATACAGGCTAAAGTCACTCAGGACACAAGCACTGTGCAACTATGATGTCTATAGATTTGGTGCTCCTCCTGAAGCCTTCAATTCTGGGACTACATAAAAATTGTCTGATTAAATTAAAAAAATCAGAATCATATTGTCTGTTTTGACAATATAGAGGACAAAAGTTCTAAAGTCCCCAAGCCCACAACCCCATAAAATAATTTAATATTAAAATGACAAAGTTCCACGAACCTATTACTGTTCGTACTGACAACTGCATTATTTTGCATTTGGATCTTTTTACTAGTACACAGTAGAAGCAAGCAAAAAGGAATTTTTTCCAGGTACACAGACTGCTGAAGTACTTTACACTGTCTTCGGAGTAAATGCTATTTTTTCTACACACTTTCAGAAGATCCAAAAAATCAGAATGAAATATTTCAACCAATGCTTGCACTGAGCAGGGTTTCCAAAATAGCAGTAATTACTGAAGCATTTCTGGGATTATCTACTCAGATCTCTTTTGAACACAAAAATCCCAGAAGACTGATTGGATTTACTCAGCGTTAAACCAGACTCAAATTAATAACCTTAAAAACTTTCCATCATGATGAACAACATATAAATATTTACAGAAAGGCCTACCACAAACATGTTTTTTTCAGCCCTTTTAGTGTCACATTTTGTAAAAGTTAGTTCGAAATTTAAGAGTTTTATTTTTAACATATCTTGTGTATCCTGAACATTCTAAGCTATAACTGAATAAATACTAAGCAGCATGTCACAATATATGCCAGTTTAACTAAGCTTTTGATTCTAGAAAATATTATGTATCTTGGAAAGTTTATCAGTGTATCTGAACTACTTAAGATGTTTTTAATAAGCAGACACTGAATGAAAACAGTAATTGCCTTCAAGGTAGCAATGTACTTGCATAGAAGAAAAAAAATTTATCAAATTGCTAGAACTGTTGAAAAACCTCAGAAACAGTTTCAAATATCAACCTGATTGTACTGGAGAACCTATGCTGTGGCCTCTGGAAGTGTTAATCAGCTTCAAGGCTTTGGTGGGTATTCCAGCTGCACCCTGACTTCACACTGGGGCAGAATCTAAAAACTGTTATTTCCCTACTTGTGTACCCTGTCCCTTCCACACTCTTGCTTTTCAGCTTTTATGAGAAGCAAACTAAAGGAGCTGCAATGTGCTTTGGCAGGTCTCCTGATCTGCAAGACAAGGGTCCAGGCCTGAACTGGGTACTGCAGGCAGCATTTCTCTTGTGATAAAGACATAGCTTTTAGTACATTGAGTGCACCCGCGAATTTCAGGAGACAAGCTCTACCAAACCTTTTATTTTCCATCACACATACTGTACCTCTACAATGAAGGCTTTTCTTTCAGATTCACTTTCTATCTGTTTAATGGCTACATCTTTAGCTCTCCATTTTGCCTTGCAGACTACACCAAAGGCTCCTCTTCCAACAACCTAGAACAAAATATAAAACACTGGAGTTAAAATTTGAAACAGTTTCATTCACTGCGCAGGACTTCACAAACAGAAAAAAACCTTAATTTAGAAAACTGAAGATACACAGGCTCGAGTTTTGCAGTAGGAATTGAATACTATACCATTAAAGCATAACTAGACTTAGCTAAGCTTGCCCAAGAGATCATTTAGGCAAGAATTGGAAAACACACATACAAAAAAATTTTATTACTAATGTGCAGTGACAGTGTCTCAGAAAAGTATAATCTCAATTATTTAGAACAAGATTTGCTCAGAAGAAAATTAGAAGAATGAGACCTTATTTTTTTTCTCTTCAGGTTTCACCCCTGAAATGACACCTATCTGCTGTATTTGTTCATTCTTGCTAAAAAAACCAGGAAGTAAGACTTCTGAAACTTAAATGTATACACAACTGCACAGGACCATGATGAAATTGAGACAAGAGGTTTCATGTGCTAAGTTATCAGTTCATTTTCTCATAGATGACTCAAGAGTGTGATAGCAGTAAATTATCCTGCAAGTCCTCCAAAAAAGTGTCTATGAACTAAGTTATCCCTATTTCTGTTGAAGTCTGCTTTCTAGCTTATTTGGAAATAACATTGCCTAAAATTATGGAAAAAAACAACCCCAGACAAGAGTCATAACTCTTCACTATAAAGTTGCAAAAGCAGTAGTAGCTGCTACTGCATACTATAGTGTTCAAGTAATCCTTAACCTTTGCTGTGAAGAAGCTCCAACACCACCATTATTTAGAGCAGCTCTTTGAAATCAAGCACAGAAATAAAAAAAGCAGGATAGAAAGAAGGTCACTTTCAGTTACTGGTGAATTACACATGATGTTTAATTGAAAATCCACTTCTTTTAATTGTTCCTCAAAGGAAAAATGGCAACATACAGGAATAATGACAAAACATGTATGTGAGATGTAAAATTGAAATGAAGGTGTTGCCAAAGCAGTGACTGCAGCCACTACAGGAAAGCACAGACAAGTACGTTATTACTCATATGCTCAAAAGAAAATGATGAAGAGGAGGAAACCTAAGGCACACACAGGCACAGAAGGAAAAGGAGCTCCTCCAAATCCAAAAAATGCAGGGCAGGCAAGATGAGAAGTAGGAGAGAGGAGGAGAAACAAGGGGCTGACTACCATTTATGTAATCCTTGGGTTAGGTTCTTACTATGTACTTCCCAAATAAATAAACAAACAGTGAAACTGATTTCCCCTGGGAATGGGATGGTAAGGGCTGTAGATGCATAACTCAAGACCTGCTAAACTGTCATGATGGATATGAGAAAGTCTGCAATCAAGGCCCCAATGTGAAGAGATGAAAAATATAAATTAAAAAACCCCATCAAGATCTTACATTAAGAAAGATAGAAAAAAGGAAATTATGCTTAATATTTCTTAAAAGTTTCATGTGAATTATAAGGTACAGCTGCCCCTGACAGCCATGGTGATAAAAGGCACTTTCTTCTTCTGGTTTCCTTATTACTGTAAGAAATACTTTTCTCTTTTACATTACAGCATGCACTTTGCCTTCCAGGAGTTCCTGCCATCTCACGTTTACTTTCCACAGCAGTGGTTCAGAGTCTGCACTAAGACATGCCCAGGAGATGCACAGAACATGCCCAATTCTGCTCTGTTTAACAACAGAACCTGTTGATTGTAACCTCACCCCCCAGCCAAAGTGCCTTGCACTTTGTGTTGCCTTCTTACATCTTGTCCTGATGTAACACACACTATTTTCTTGCATTCCACACGTGAGGTTGGAAACACCAAGCCAAGAATGATAGATGAGCAGCCTACAAAAATAGTACATATAAACAAATTGGAAACAATGAGTCACTGGAAGACATAAAAGTCCCGAACAGTTTTCCTTGTTATTTCCTTTTCTCTCAGACCATGTTTTGAATAAAATTGCTCACTTTATAGGGGCTGGCAGGCCCCCCACCTTCACAAAAATTGTCCATTACAAAGCCCCTACCCATCTTGTACAGCACATGATCAGACCTACAGAATAAGGAAAATCTCATCAGTCAGTGTGTGTGCTGTAAGTCTGCATTTCACAGAAATGGTGATTAGCGAGCACATAAGTGCAAGCACCAGGGAAATACTAAGAAGAGTTAATGAGAGAAGGATGCCACAGAGCAGCTTGTGAAGGATGAAGTGTATTGGCAGAAGCAATACAGTTAGTTCCACATCTGCTGCTCCCCTACACTGAAGAAATCTAAACAGGGTTACCCAACTGAGTGGGAAGAACACTCCCTTTCACTTAGGGAAAAGGAGATGGGCATGAAATGAATTATCCTAGGTGGATACAATTGGCCTTATGGTTCAAGGCTCTGAGACACCTTTTAGAAGGTTCCTTTTCTTAATAAACCTTTTCTCACATGCTTTCAGAGTTTTCAACTATAACTCTGTTACATTGAATCCAATGACAGAAACAAAAAGAGTGATTTGAAAGCAGTGCATATATGTCAGTTAAAAGACTGGTCTAAAAATTTAATGAAGTGATTTGACTTTTTTTTTTCCACTTAGCCTGAATTACCTACAACAGTTTGTGATGGGTCAGGCTTACTTTTTTTCTGGCTAGTTGTATCTTTCCCTGCTGAAAAGCGTTGTGTATGTCCATATAAACAAATACACTATATACATTATGTATATTATTTTAATATTATCAATATGCAATATATACTACATATATTTTTATACATTTTATTTATATTTATTTTTGAGATGTATCACAAAAAAAAGAAACTCCATGTATCTCTTCTATTTGATTCCACATGGTAAAGTCAGCTCATAAGTCAATATAAATGCATACTACTTCCCTGCAGAAAAATTCATTACTATTTTCATGTTTCATCCTGAGAACTGGTACATGTACTTCCAATTAATACACTAAAGAAATCATTGTTTTTTAATGCTGTTGTATTTTTAAATAATATTTCTAATAACTGAAGAAACTCACAGAAACGAGTATACTGCCCCATGTGGTATTTTACATTGAGCCATGAATGTCACAATATTTGGGTTTTAGCTGAAAAGTGGAATAAATTCCAAGAATTAGATGTTCTTTAGAAGTCCCACTGATGACTGGAAAAAAAAAAAAAAAAAAAATAAAATCAGTGTTGTGCACCAAGAGGAAGAGTTTACCAGGCAATCTAAACCTCAATTATGTAATGGAAAGCTGTGAGACCACCAAGTATGTAAATTTTATTACTGGTGAAAATAGTTTGATAAATGATTATGCAGTCAAGGTTTCATAACAATTTATCAGTGACTTGTTGCCTGCTTAGGCAGAAGGTTAAACTTGAGAAGAGGACATGGATGCAGTGAATATTTACCTAGGATACAGGGAAAACAGAAGAGCTGATCCTCCATTAAAGCAGCTCAGGCTCTTGGATGGCACATGAAAGGAGCAACCATCAGAAACAATGACAGATCCAATACAAATTGGTTTCCCATATGTGAAAACTCAGTGTGCTTTTCCTACTTAATCTGGAAAAAGTATATTACTCATAGCAAAAACCCCTTTATAATCGACAGAATGCAGGTTGTGGTGGAGTCCATTTACATATAATTTTCTTCCCTTAAATTTATTCTTTAAAGGAGTAAGTCTTAGATATTGTCAGAACAGTTTAAACACTATATAGTTTCCTTCAGCACCTCGTGCTGGAACTAGGTAACTTAATATCACAGGAGGGAGGCAGTGCCTGAACTTTAGTTTCTTCATGCTCATTCCTTCTTGTCCCCTGCTGCTGGTGCCACACCATATGCTTGGGCAACAGCGCATATTCGGAATTATATGAAGCACAGTTAATGGAATTATTGACACAACAAATCAATAAACAGCAGTTGATCTGTAGCACTGTGTTTATTTGGAAAATGATCTAAAAATAAACACATTCTTTTAGTAAAAGATTCTGTTTCTTTAAATATCTTCTAGGAGAAAAAAGGAAGATATAGGGTAGATGAGACATTTAGAAATAGAGTAAGAACAAGTCTGCTTCTACCTTTATCACAGAAGAGAATTAAGTTTGTCAAAAACCACTTGATACATGACACAAAACCATTTTAAACTGGAAGTAATACTTAAAGAGGTTCAAAGATTGAGAAGTGTATTAAAATTTATTCTTCTACCTGTAAAATACATACCAGTAAAAAGTTACATTTTACTGTACGACAAAGTGACATGGTGAAGGACAGTGCCACTTGCATGTTTTCCAGATAATGTATTTAGAGTCTTATTTAAAGAATATGAACCATACAAGAACCCTGGAACACGCATTACCTCTGTCTCTGTGTACAAATAGTATCAAATGCTGTACATAAACAAAGATACATGATACTAACTTGTAAGTATGTAGACTATACTGACTGGTAAGTTATGTAGACTAGAAATCATGCAGGAAATAGAGACTGCAGATATGTTAAGAGCTTAAGGATGTATTTTGTCCTAAGGGATGTGACCAAAAATTTCCCCTCCCCCAGTAAAACAAGAAAAATGCATCTCTATTTATTTAGATGCACTATAATTCCCTAACAAATGTTAAAACTTTGGAAAAATTAATTTCAACTTTGCATTAACTCCACAAGTTTTCTATTAACTCAAAAACATACAACTGCAAAGTTTTTCTCTTTATCCATAAAGTTTCCATGTAAGGTAGTTCTGCATGCTGGATACTTAGTGCTTTTATTTCTAAAAAAAACCTTGCTGGATAAATAAGACAGCAATAAAATATAATAGCTCCCTGGTTAGCAGACGTAGTATTCTTTAGAGAACTGACTTCATAATTTGCTGTATCTACTGTATTACTGCTCATTTACGATTTTGGAAGGCAGGACAAGCAGTTACAAAAATCCAAAACCAGAAAACCAACAAAACCTGTGCTTCCAAAATGACAACAGGCTTTAAGTTATCTTTAATATCTATATTGCTTTGTTTACTGGTATATTTGCTAATGAAATGGGATGT